AAAGCCTAAACCAGAAGAAGCTTAAACCAAGCTTAAACCTGTAACCATACAAACAGCAAGCCAAAGCCTGAAGCAAGCCAAGGCATGAAGCCAGATAAACCTTGAAGCCTCATAAACCAAAAGAGTAAGCAGGCACGCAGGCTACCCTCAGAGTTAACCTCATCATAGGGTTAGCAAAAAATCAAAATCGTCCATAACCAACAAAGCAACAACATATTCAGAATCATACCAATATCATCAAGAACAACATCAACAGGCACCTCAGCAAGCCAACAGAAAGAAGAGAAAAAGAAGCATACAAGCATTCAAGGCAACCCAGATCCCAGCAATCAAAACCCTCAGAATAGAATCATCACAGGGTTAGCAAGCGTTTCATACAAGCATACAAGCAACTGAAGCAAGGATATAGAAGAGGAAAAAGTGATATGAACTAGGTTTTCAAAGCAGTCATCATCAAACCTAATAAAAAGGCAAAGGTAAAGATACCAGGAAAAGCAGAGCCAACTCAACACCAAGCACCCCCGTCCAGCCACCCTAGGCGCCTCCGGTCCACCTCGTCTCCACCTCCACAAGCCAAAGGTATAAATCCCTTCCCTTTTTTTTTTCGTTCACAGAAACAACAACAATACTTAATCAGAATCAATAATTGAAAGATAATGACATGCAAGGGCAGAAATCGAAAACCCTAAAACGTCCAAAATCGTTACCTTTTTTCTCATTTTTGCGTTGCCCAACCATGGAGGGAAGAGAGGTGGAAGCTGCGCCTAGTAGCTGAGACGGAGAGAGATTCAGAAACGTTTGGCTCAGTGAGAACGAGCGAAGAGGAGAAGACAGCAACGAAGAAGAGCGCCGCTCTGTAACTCACAAACCCTAACTCATTCCCAAATGAACGAAACACCAAAACCCTAAACGAAAATGCTATCAAAAACGCGTGGGCCTTGCCCATTCAGGACGCCTAAGCCCATCAAAACAAGCGCACCCCCTTTTTTTCCTTTTTATTCTGATCATTTATTTGGGCCAGCATAACTCCTTTAAGCCCATTCTATTCTTTTTTTAACTAACACCTTTTTTCATTTATCACATGACATTTTACACAACTTATTTTTGTTAAATAAACCAATTGTTCATATTAAATTTAATTGACAATATTCTTTTTTTTATTTTCTTTTTATGATATCATTAAATGTTTGTACATAAAAAATATATACATAAAACATTAATACATAAAACATTAATTCGTTCCTAAAACATTCCTTTTTAACTCTTATATCTAAAACCTTAGCAAAGTATATAAAAAACAAACTTTTTAAAGTTAAAAAACTTTTCTTTAAACTTAAAACTTTTACTTTCTTTCAATTAAAAACTTTTGTACATAATTAACAAAAAAATACAAAGAACAAATGAATACTTAATAATACATTAAAATTCACATTTTTCACCTTGTAAATAAATCTCAATCACTTACACAAATACATTGATACATACACATTTGCTTTATTCTTATACATTGCTATACATTATATTTTACATTTGAGATCGCAATTCGATTTGGTTGTAAATTTATTTGGACACTACTCTCCTATATAAGTCTCATCCCCATTTGTAAATATTTGTACCCCACTCCCGGATACTTATTTGTAATAGCGTAAACTTTAAATTCCCGCAATTTATCGCTTTCAAATATACCATGGTTAGACCTAGGGTTTGTATGTACATAAAATCAAACGCTAGATAACCTAATACAAAACAAATACATGAAATCAATACACAATCACACTTGCACCCCTAGGGTAATCCCGCTTGTTGCCTTCCAAAATGGGCCATGCTTGCACGTTGAGTATCTTTGGCAAAACAAAACAATTCAAATGATCATAGTCCCTCGATGACGCTTTCGAAAGTTGCCTATCAAAATGATCATAGTCCCTTCAAGCAAAATTGCCATAGATACTTGGCACCATTGCATTCATGGTCCATACGATGACCCGCGCCTGTCCCGTTAACATCCTAAACGCAAGATTGTCCACCAAATACAATGGTGGAACAAAATTGTTAAAAGGGTTAAAACATGAGAATAAACCTTTGAGTAAATTTAGGGGTAGACGACTCTTAGTTACTTGACAAACTTGCAAAAACACTTGCCTACTTTTCAAACCACACTCCACAAACACTTTCAAAACAAACTTCCAAAAACATTTGAAACATCTTTTCGAAAAGATACACACCTTTGTAAAACACTCAAACACGAGTCATTACAACGGTTGCCTAGACAAGGCGTCTTCTTCAAAAACATTTTCAAAACACACACACACACACCATTTCAAGCAATTGAAAATCAAAGGCAAGTGATCTAAAACCAAGTAACTAAGAGCCCATGGATAACCATGGATGAAAAGGGTGCTAATACCTTCCCTTTTCATAATCTACCCCCCGAACCCACGAAACATCTCAAAAGGTTTTTCCTGTGCTTTTTAACCTTTCCTTTAGGATAAAATAAAAAGTCGGTGGCGACTCTTGCTAAACCGAACAAGTGCGAAAACAAACGCAAAACTCAAGTCAGTTCTCCCACCGTACCACAAGTAGCAATTACTCAATGTGGATATGATACTCTTATATTTATTACTTGCTGCAATTAAAGCATGTATACTTGCATGTGACATTTCTCAACTAGTATTTCAATCCAACAACGGTATACATGTTGCATCTTGTAGGATGTATTATCTTAGCGGATAAGTTTTATGTATAGATTAATTCCGAATACATATCCATGTTTGTTGACTTTGAGCACCTCGGTTGGGCATGGAAGTGTGCTACTTTGATAATATTATATACCATCCTTGAAGAGGTGAATGTCTATGAGACGAGACAACTTGTCAATTATATGAGTCTATTTCTGATATGAATATTTATTATGTTATTATTTTTGAAAAACATTTCATTATTATTTGTGTTTATTGTGTAATGTTGGATGTACGAGCATTCTCATCCATTTGTAATAAGTGTGATTGCACGGTCCTACCACTGATGGCTCCCTACGGTCCACCTAATGGAAGACCTTCATATGATATGCCATGGCATCCACCTTATATGACTGACCAACATGGCTTGCAGATGATAACACTTCTTTCAAATAACCTCATGAGTTTGGTAAATCCATACGAAGAGATCTATGCAAGATTATCTCATACACCTTACATTGAATGTGGTGGACTGACTTAGATTTTATTTGTTGTACATTATTTATATCTACTGACATTATTTTATATATTAACGACACTTTATGCTAAATGTAACGCTCGTAGATATACGATAGAAAAAAAAAATAGAATTTGGAATTCTTAATAAATAGTATGATGATATTTGCTTTATAGATTTTCTATTTAATTGTATGTTTTGACACAAAAAAAATTGTTGAAATTATCTTACGTCTTAATCGAACTTTTTAAAATTGGCATAACAATTTTATTAGTCTTAAATAATATAAATGTTTCTACTGCGTCGGAATTTCAAAAATATGTTTTTTTTTTCTTGAGAAAACGAGCAAGATATATTCACTGTTTAAATTTTAATAAATCGCAGTTACCATCAAAATTTAAATAAGAGTTTTATGTATCGTAGGTAATAATAATTTGATCTCAATATAATTTTCTAAATTAAGGACTAAAGACTTATTTAAAATAAAATTTTATTCGAAAATTTTTGTTTTACTTAATTAAAATATTACAATAAATTTTTTTCTATTTTCATAAAAGTTGTCTGTGACCGATATACAACTAATTGAAAACGAACACGAGAATTAAATAACTAAGTGATATAAAATGAAAATATCTAGATATTTTTTAGGTTATATTATTATTTTAATCATAGCCTTTTATTACTTAAACTCTTTTCTACACAATTTTCCCATTTTTCACAATACTTTCTCTCTCCTCCATCTCTCTAAAATTATACTCTAATTTACTATTCATCATCTCCTTCACATTTTCCTTTCTTCACTTTTGACTCAAAGCTTGCACAAGAACTAGATCTACATGTAAGCCATAAATCATACATATTAACAAAGGTATTTTCCAAAACTTCATGCATATTAACTAGATCTACTCATGTAACAAAATAGTTTTTGTAGTGTATGAGCACTGATTTTCAAATTTTCTTATTCATTCCTTTACGCAAGTAATAGAGTCTGGACCTTGTGTTAGTATATCTACGCATTTTTATTTTATTTTTTAACACTTTGAAAATTTTGAATGTTTTGAAAGGTTTTGAAATTTTATTTTTCATTATTTTCATTGATCAGTGATTTTATATTTAGTTGATTTATCGTTGTGTCGGAATAGGGTTTTTTTTTCTTGTCCTAAATTAAATGGAATTTTGAATACTTGAAAGTTTGAAATTCTGTTCTAAATCGTAGACATATGGTTTGCGATTAGCGGACTTTTTTTTTTCAAAATTATAGTGAAATTTTTGTTTTAAAGTTATAAATACTTTATCGAACATTGGAGTCCTATATATATATATATATATATATATATATATATATATATATATATATATATATATATATATATATATATATATATATATATATATATATATATATATATATATATATATATTGAAAATGAGTATTAAAGGTATCAATTGTAAATGAATTTTGAGTAGACTATGTGGTTATTAATTAAGTCAGAGGCTCTGGTAAATGACGTAAACACAAAGGATACTCTGCCGAAATTTCATTTAAAAATTGTAACTTTTTCAAATTTTTAATTGAGATAAATTATATTTATTAGACTTATTTGACTGAATCTAAGAATGAGTAAATTTAATTAGAAGTTTTTTGATTCACCTAAGTCACTTATTTGATTTAGGTTTTTGAGTATCGAAGAATACAATGAGTTATGTGGATTAAGAAGCTCGCAGAGGTCAGAGAACTTTCTAACGATATTTTATGTTATTGAATGGATGATTGTGTGTCTAGTTGGGGTTGTGTAATACTTTTGTATCTAGTTAGGGTTTTGTAATGCTTGTGTTTCCAAATGGAATTTCGTAATACGTGTGTGCCAAGTTGGGGTTTTGTAATGCTTGTGTTTTCGGTTGGGATTTTGTAATACGTGTGTGTCAAGTTGGGATTTTCTAATGCTTGTATGTCCAATTGGGGATGTGTGATACATGTTGTTGGCTGAAGATTTTGATAATATTATTAGAAGCAAAACAAAGTGGACGTTTCGATCGAAATGAAACAAAACGTCATGTTTCGAAATAGCAGAAGCAGTGTTTCGAATGAGCATATCAAAGCTTGGAGCTTCGAGTGGCAATTATGAGAATATATCCAAAGAAGTCTCGAAATGACAACAAAGCTGTGTCTAAGAAGGGCGTTCGAAGCGAAGAAGTGCCAAAACATTTGAAATTCAAATGCAAGCGGGATGTTCGAAATTTGAAATATATGCGCTGGAGCATTCGAAGACACGTGGAAGCAAGAGAGAGGCATTGCTCTGCATGTTATGAACGTGGCAGAATCTTATAGCAAGACCGTTATGGTCGAAGTAGTATAAATAGAAGTCTTAGCATTAGGATTTCGTGTGTCATATCTATTTGTACAAAAAACTCAGTAAACATTCAAATTACCACATGGCTAGGGAAACGAATGCAAGAGCAATGTACGTATGATAGCACCACATGTTTATGATTTAATGAAAACCCTTTATCATTTCCAGTACTTTCCTTTGTCTCTGTATCAATACCATTTACAAGTTTTTGCATTTAAAGTCTTTTTATTCGAAATCTTTTCATTGATGCCTTACATTTAAATGCTTTCTTTACATTTCAGACACTTTACATTTCAGAAACTGTCATACATTTCATGCCTTTATCTTCAAGTTTTTACCCTTCGAACATTTCTTTTACTTAAAGCAATTTTACAGTTTTCTTGCATTAAACGCTTTCTTCACATTTCGAATCTTTTACATTAACTATTTTGTTTTACGTTTCGAAGCCATTTACTTGTCTTTTATGCAGTTTTACATGTCTTTACAATTAACATTTATTCATGCAATTTAGTTTCGCGTACATATATTTTGATTACACCTTTAGATCTTTAAGAGAGAAATCGAAATAAGTCAAACTCCTACACAACACTCTAAATACCAACCATGAATACCTGTTCAATCATGAGAGTTACCCTAATGACCAACACGTCCTAGGATCAATCTAGTCGATCCTGCGAGTTACCAGAGAAATTGAATAACAGTCAGTAAGTTTATTCGATAGTTTGGAGGACTAGCGGTTGTTTACCAGAAATCACTATAAACAAATTGGCACACCTGGTGGGACCCAATCGTTGGACATTAGAAATAAAGATTGTTGAGACATAACCATTATAAAAACGTTGGAACCTAAGAAGTTTGCTGTTTTATGAACCTAAGAAGTGGTAAAATAACCAACAGCAACCAACCCTTATCCAGAAGAAAACGTTTGAACAAAATGTCTAATTCTGACAATCAACAAGGGGAACAAAATGCCGCACATACAACAGGCACTAATGTGTCCGCTTCGATGGGAACATCTAATGTGATCCCTTCGAATGCACAGTCTGTTGCGTCTTCTACCAGTAATATAGCCACCAATGGAGTGAGTGGCATATCAACTAATAGTTCGATCTTAGGAAATACTGGAACCATTGGTTATCCTGGGGGATTTGTTCCACCATCAGGGACACAATCCTATTTCGCCACTCCACTAACTAGACCACCCAGTTTCGATGGTACCAGAACCAGAAATTCCTCTTATGGAATGCCAACATCCTTTATGGCAGGTTTACACAATTCCACATTGAATTCATCACCACAATTAGGGTCTGGGTCTGGGGCGAATCAGTTTATGACAAATAACCAAGGGTCAGTGGGTTATAGCACAATGCCTATTTTAACCACAGAAAACCAGTTGGCCTTTAGGCAATTGATGGATGACAGTAACCATAATATGATAGGGGTGTTAGCACAAACTATGCAGGAAATATTTGCCCCAATAGTATAAAATGTGACTGTGACAAACAGAGAGAACGCAGATAACATGAGTCGAATAGCAGATTTCTTTGCTCCCCCAGAAAAGCGTAGGCAGAATCAGGCGGGAGTTCGAGCAAGCATGCCTGTTATGGAACAAGTTGCTAACGACCCAAACTATAGACCACCTAGAGAAGAAGTTAACTTGGGGGCAAGGGCACAAAGGTTAGAAGCCCCAATGATCCCAGGCCCACAAAGAGAAATTGTGGAACCAGGGGCAAGGGTCGAAAGGCTGGAAGTCTCAGAGTTTCGAGAAGAACAACCTAGGGGGGTTGTCATGGTGGGTCGAAATTAAGATGCTGATGTTGTCGTTCATAGAATTCGAATCGATAACATCTTGGCAGAAAACAATTTAACCACCATGATAGAGAGAGTCATGGCCCAGAATGGTCTCAACACAGGAATTAGAAGGCCAAATTATGCTTCTCCTATATTGGATTGCATAATGCATACTGATTTACCAAGGGGATATAAAATCCCTAAGTTTACAAAGTTCGCTGGGGATACCAATGAGTCAACAGTCGAACATATAGCCAGATATCTAACCGAAGCGGGAGATATAGCCAATAATGAAGATCTCAGGATCAAATATTTCCCAAGTTCCTTGACTAAAAACGCCTTCACGTGGTTTACCACTTTGCCTCCTGGGTCCATTGATACTTGGGCTCTTTTGGAGAGATTATTCCATGAACAATTTTACATGGGACAGTCAAAAATAAGCTTGAAAGAATTAGCCAGTGTCAAGAGAAAGTTCACAGAACCCATAGATGATTATCTGAATAGATTTAGGCTTTTGAAATCCATATGTTACACAGTGGTGCCTGAACATGAGTTAGTCGAAATGGCCGCTGGTGGCCTGGATTACTCTATTCGAAAGAAACTAGACACTCAATACCTGAGGGACATGGCTCAGTTAGCCGACAGGGTTCGACAGGTCGAAAGGCTAAAAGCCGAAAAGGCCAGAGTCTTCAAAAATAACAAGAAGGAAAGGATCTCCTACGCTGGAACTGAGGAAGCAGAAGAGTATCCTGAATTCGAATTCGAAGAGGTCGAAATCGACCTCGCTGAATTGAAACAGGCACCACCTTACTCCTGCAAGTTATTAGTTCCCACAAAAGGGAAAGAGATTGTTGAAAATGAGAAAAGTGACAAATTCCCAAAGAAGGTTTATACCTTCGATGTCACTAAATGTGACGAGATTTTTGATTTACTTGTCAAAGATGGCCAACTCATTGTGCCACCAAATGTCAAAATACCTCCTTTAGATCAAAGAAAGAAGAGAGGATTTTGCAAATATCATAGTTTCCTAGGCCACAAAACCTCACAGTGCTTTCTTTTCAGGGACCTGATCCAGAATGCAATCAAAGATGGCAGACTGAAGTTTGCTGATAAAGCAAAGATGAAAGTGGACGAAGATCCCTTGGATGTCGCAGACACCAACTACTCCGAGCCTGCATGCATTGGAGAGATTAACATGGTGGAAGCTGACCAAAGTGATGCCCCAATAGGAGAGAAAGGTACTGAAAACGAAAGCTGGGTGATGGTCGAAGTCGATAAGGAGGTCACTGAAGACGTCCAGAAGCAACCAGAGACTTCGATTGAAGCAGCACCTTTAGTGGTTGCAAAAGAAATCCAGGCTACTGAAGGCCAGGAAAATCAGAACCAAGAGCTAACACAGGTCACTAAAGGCCTGAGGCTGGAATTGGAGAAAGTCCAAATCACGAAGCCAACTTCCCCTCAGAAAGAAATATGGGACGCTCTAGGGGAACCCAGTGGAAAATTTGACTATTTGGTCAAATATTCTGCCCCAGAGAGTTCGAAGGTCCATATTGAAGATATAAAACCCACAGGATGGGGAGATGATGAAGCTAAGGGGGAAGATGTTGAGGTAAATATGGTGGATATGGAGAGGCCTCGCTCTGAGATGGAAGAGGTAGAAAGATACTTAGAAAAAGAGAAGTATAAAATGGAGGATAATCATGCTGGAGATGCTAGTCTCAAGGATTACCTCATGACATGCCACAAGGGAGATACAGGCATGATACTGTGCCCTAGGTGTAGCATCCTCTGCAATCAGAGAATCGCTGCGAACTTTGAAAGGATAGAGAGAGCTCGAACTGGAAACAATTGACGCCAGGATAACCAGCTATTCAAGTGTTATCCTAAGGCTGGAGAAAGTTTGCTGGAATTTGTGTTTCGCTGCTACAAAGGGGAAACCAAGTGCTTGATATGCCCAAGGTGTTCAGATGTGTATGATCAAAGCATGGCCAGAGCCTTCGAAACAATTCCCTTCGCCCCTTGCTGGAACCATCAAGAAACTGTCCAGATGGGCCCACGTTTTGACAGCAGACACAAACAACGAAGGCCTGATAGCCCTCACCCCAAGGCTGCTCAAAGAGTGACTTTCAAACTCCCTGCTGAAGTGCCAACCGACAGATGGCTGCAAGTCAGAAATGACAAAGGCAAAGACAGATGGAGAAACACCGAACGAAATGCACGCCATGCTATGACATACAGAAGGCAATTCAACATAGCAAAGAGGGAAGAGGTAAGATTAGAGAACTACAAAGGAAGGAACCCCATGTCGAGATCCCAGTGGCGAAGGCAACAGAGGATTCGAAAGGCTGAGAGAGAAGCTGTGGCAAATAAAGGGGTAACTTCAACAAAAAACCAAGGTGAATCTAGCACCATTAAACCCACACCAAAAAATCAAACTGAAGACAAACCTCCAGTTAATAGGAGGCTTTTCTCTGAAGTACAACTAGATGAACCAAAGGAATACACTCCAGGCCCAGAAGAAGACGAAGATATGATAACAGATAACTTCGAATCGGAGGGGGAGTCTTCGTTCAACCTAAACTGCAACGTGGTATCTGTGCTTCTCTGTGAATTTGGACAGGAAACAGAAATTGATGAATGTGAGGAAGAAGATACCATAGATTTGATGAAACATAGGCCTGTGTGCTATTATGTGATGGACAATGGGGCTGTCGAGGAGAAAAATGCGTTCTTCGAACGTCCAGAACCAGCTATGAAGAACCATCTTAAGCCACTATTTATTCGGGCAAAAGTTGGTGTCCATGGCGTGAATAAGGTTCTAGTGGATGGGGGTGCTGCAGTCAATTTGATACCCCACTTCATGCTCAAAAGATTAGAGATCCGCGAAGGAGACATCAAGCCCCACAATATGGTTCTTTCCAATTATGAGGGGAAAGTGGGCAAAACACTGG